ATGGAACATGGCACATGGAACATGGAACATGGCACATGGCACATGGAACATGGAACATGGAACATGGCACATGGAACATGGCACATGGCACATGGAACATGGAACATGGAACATGGAACATGGAACATGGCACATGGAACATGGCACATGGAACATGGCACATGGCACATGGAACATGGCACATGGAACATGGCACATGGAACACGGCACATGGAACATGGAACATGGAACATGGAACATGGCACATGGAACATGGCACATGGAACATGGCACATGGCACATGGAACATGGAACATGGAACATGGAACATGGAACATGGAACATGGAACATGGAACATGGAACATGGCACATGGAACATGGCACATGGCACATGGAACATGGCACATGGCACATGGAACATGGAACATGGAACATGGCACATGGAACATGGCACATGGAACATGGCACATGGCACATGGAACATGGAACATGGAACATGGAACATGGAACATGGCACATGGAACATGGCACATGGAACATGGCACATGGCACATGGAACATGGCACATGGAACACGGCACATGGAACATGGAACATGGAACATGGAACATGGCACATGGAACATGGCACATGGAACATGGAACATGGAACATGGAACATGGCACATGGCACATGGCACATGGAACATGGCACATGGAACATGGAACATGGCACATGGCACATGGAACATGGAACATGGAACATGGCACATGGAACATGGAACATGGCACATGGAACATGGAACATGGCACATGGAACATGGCACATGGCACATGGAACATGGAACATGGAACATGGCACATGGAACATGGCACATGGAACATGGCACATGGCACATGGAACATGGCACATGGAACACGGCACATGGAACATGGCACATGGAACATGGCACATGGAACATGGCACATGGCACATGGAACATGGCACATGGAACATGGCACATGGAACACGGCACATGGAACATGGAACATGGAACATGGAACATGGCACATGGAACATGGCACATGGAACATGGCACATGGCACATGGAACATGGAACATGGAACATGGAACATGGAACATGGAACATGGAACATGGAACATGGAACATGGAACATGGCACATGGAACATGGCACATGGCACATGGAACATGGCACATGGCACATGGAACATGGAACATGGAACATGGCACATGGAACATGGCACATGGAACATGGCACATGGCACATGGAACATGGAACATGGAACATGGAACATGGAACATGGCACATGGAACATGGCACATGGCACATGGAACATGGCACATGGCACATGGAACATGGCACATGGAACACGGCACATGGAACATGGAACATGGAACATGGAACATGGCACATGGAACATGGCACATGGAACATGGAACATGGAACATGGAACATGGCACATGGCACATGGCACATGGAACATGGCACATGGAACATGGAACATGGCACATGGCACATGGAACATGGAACATGGAACATGGCACATGGAACATGGAACATGGCACATGGAACATGGAACATGGCACATGGAACATGGCACATGGCACATGGAACATGGAACATGGAACATGGCACATGGAACATGGCACATGGAACATGGCACATGGCACATGGAACATGGCACATGGAACACGGCACATGGAACATGGCACATGGAACATGGCACATGGAACATGGCACATGGAACATGGCACATGGAACATGGCACATGGAACATGGCACATGGAACATGGAACATGGAACATGGCACATGGCACATGGAACATGGCACATGGAACATGGCACATGGAACATGGCACATGGAACATGGAACATGGCACATGGCACATGGAACATGGAACATGGCACATGGCACATGGAACATGGCACATGGAACATGGCACATGGCACATGGAACATGGCACATGGAACACGGCACATGGAACATGGAACATGGAACATGGAACATGGCACATGGCACATGGCACATGGCACATGGAACATGGCACATGGAACATGGAACATGGCACATGGAACATGGCACATGGAACATGGCACATGGAACATGGAACATGGAACATGGAACATGGAACATGGAACATGGAACATGGAACATGGCACATGGAACATGGAACATGGAACATGGAACATGGAACATGGCACATGGCACATGGAACATGGCACATGGAACATGGAACATGGCACATGGAACATGGCACATGGAACATAGAACATGGCACATGGCACATGGAACATGGCACATGGGACATGGAACATGGCACATGGAACATGGCACATGGAACATGGAACATGGAACATGGAACATGGAACATGGCACATGGAACATGGAACATGGAACATGGCACATGGAACATGGAACATGGAACATGGCACATGGCACATGGCACATGGCACATGGCACATGGCACATGGAACATGGAACATGGAACATGGAACAAAGTACAAAAAAATACAAAATTGCTATAACATTATAGGTGGAGGCTCTACAATTTTCAATTCGTATTTATTATTAGGTTGCATTTCAATATGGGCACTTCCAAAATGTCGCTCGGGACATTTGCACACCTTTAAAGTTGAAAAAAAAATGTAAAACAATGGATTTTAATTTTAATTATGGGCTTTTCTTTTCACTCTTCCCAAGCTCTATTTTTGGAAAAAATCTTGATTTTGTACCACTTTTAGTTTTTAAGATATCGGTAAAAAACTGCCGTATTCGCTCGGGACAAAAATAGAAGTGGATTTCGGGGAAGTTCATACACCACCAGAAATTAGCGAATTCTGATGGAATATTTGAATGCGTTTTTTTTAGAAGTGCCCATATGTAATTTACGAATTACATACATATTTATAAATGTTGTATTATACCCGTTACTCGTAGAGTAAAAGGGTATATTAGATTCGTGCAAAAGTATGTAACAGGTAGAAGGAATCGTTTCCGACCCTATAAACTATATATATTCTTGATCAGGATCACTAGCCGAGTCGATCTAGCCATGTCCGTCTGTCCGTCTGTCTGTCCGTCTGTCTGTCTGTCCGTCTGTCTGTCCGTCTGTCTGTATGAACGCTGAGATCTCGGAAACTATAAAAGCTAGAAGATTGACATTTTGCATGCAGATTCTAGGAGTTCCTACGCTGCGCAAGTTTGATTTAAAAGGGTGCCACGCCCCCTCTAACGCCCACAATCGCTAATATACGATTTTAGAAATTTCAATATTTCGGAAAACTAAAAATGCAGTTTTATTGTGTTTATGAATACCTATGGAAATGTAGAAGAAATTGTTTAAATCGGACCATTCGTTGAAAAGTTACGGCGGATCAAAGTCCCTTTGACTGAGTAACGGGTATCTGATAGTCGGGGCACCCGACTATAGCGTTCTCTCTTGTTTTTCTCTTTTTTTTATTTATTTATTTCTTGATTCATTTCATCCCTCCATGAAATTCAAATAGTTAACATTGCGCACAACAGCACTCGGCTAACATAACAGCACATTTTCGTAACATAACGTAACGTAACACACAATGCTAACGTAAGTAAAACAGCTGTTTGCCATTGTTGTGATTAATTTTCATTGAAGAAATTCCGATTTTGTTTATAAATATCTACTAAAAGGACAAAAAATGCGGCGACGCGTGGGCCTAGGAGCCATTCAGCAGCAGAAACTGGCTGCGGAAAAGTACAAGGACAAGGGCACCGACCTGCAGGAAAACCAACTCGAGCAGATGACCAAGCAAATGGAGGTTTTCCGCGTGAAACTCGAGGAGTTCGCGATGAAGCACAAGGAGGACATCCGCAAGAACGCGCAGTTTCGCAAACAGTTTCAGGAAATGTGCGCCGCCATTGGCGTCGATCCTCTGGCCACCGGCAAGGGATTCTGGAGCGTGCTGGGCATGGGCGACTTCTACTACGAACTGGGCGTCCAGGTGGTGGAGGTCTGCCTGGCGGCCAATCACAAGACCGGCGGCCTCATGGAACTGGACGAGCTGCGAAGACGTCTAATCGCCGCCAGGGGCCAGAGTTCGGTCCACCAGGAGATCACCAAGGAGGACATCCTCATGGCCGCCAAGAAACTGACCATCTTTGGCAATGGGTAAGGGTTTTTCCACTATTTCTAAGTGAGTCATAATGGTGGAGTAAAGTATGGGTTATTATTTTCAATTACTTTGCATTATGATCAGGAACCTTAAATATGATTAAGCACTCTATCAGCATATTTCGAAAACAAATACTATATTAAATTTCATAAAAAAAATGCATACAAATTATTTGAATTTACTAAAAAAATTAATATATTTCCCAGCAATAAACAATAAACTTTTCCTTATTATAATTAAATCATCTAAAGATCATTTTTTAATTAAATATGGAAACTTTTATTTTGTAAGGCCTACCTGTTTATTGATTCTAATGTGATTGATTTTTGATCGACTTTATAGTTATTATTAAATTATGTTCTAATTGTTTTCCAAATTCGCTGATTTTTAACGTTTTTAACTTAAAAGCATATTAGTCTTTTTAAAATAATAGACTGCAATAACTGTTATTTACGGTCCCTGGATTTTTTTTCGGTTTAATATCTTTTTATTGAAACGTAAATCATATCATTTCCAAACTAAACTTACAGCTTTGTGGTGCACAAACTGGGCAAGGGCAAATATATAGTTCAGTCCATTCCCGGAGAGCTGAGCATGGAGGAGACCAACATACTGAATGCAGCATCCAACACGGAACAAGGATGTGTTACGCAAAGTCAGCTGATAAAGGATTTAGGGTATTTCTTCCTTACTTATAAATCCATTTCAGCATTAACCTAATTTCTCTATCTTTTCTCCCTAGTTGGACCGAATTCCGTGCTCAGCAGTCACTGGACAAGGTGCTCGGCGAGGGTCTCTGCTGGATCGACAAGCAGGCGGAGGATGAGCCCGCCTACTGGTTCCCCAGTTTGTTTCCCGGTCGCAATGCACAGACCACAGTCACCTCGTAGCGATCTCATAAAAGTAATTTAATATGTTCAATAGTAATCATAAAATATATCTTTGTACAACTGTAAAATCAGCGTTAAGGTCTACAAAGGCTGCCTGGTACCGTCACCGGCGGCACCGCTCTTCAGCAACTCGTTGTCCGCCAGCAGCTCGGAGTTCTCCTTTCTCAGCTGGTAAATAACAGATTCGAAGCGCTGCGTTATGTCGTCCATTGCTACCCGGTAGCTGGACTTCATCTGCTTGTGGGCCAGTAGGTAGCGCTCCATTTGAGACTCGTAGTGCTGTTTCCTGCAAGAGTAAACAAAGTTTTTAAACGGTTTTCATTGGTATTTACCTTAGAGCTGTACACACTATCAGTCAACATACTTTATTTTGTATATTAAAGCTTCCTAAATTGTATTTTATTTTAAAAAGTAATCAACTGTTAAACTTATATACTCACATCTTGCTATCTTGATCATCTTCACAGTGCACTTCGTTGAGGGATCGCTCCAGCTCGGTGAGTCGCCTGCAAGTGACCTCCACCTCGGCTTCCAGCTTATCGTTCTGCTTCAGCACCTCCTTGTATTTGTGCTCCAGGCGATTGTTCCGCGTCTCCAGCAGATGGACCACCGACTTGTGTTCGGCAGACTGCTTTTTAAGCTGAAATGAGAGGACATATAAGCAGAAAATAATATAACCATTTATATCCCACCTTCTCCTTGATGGTGGCAATAAAATTGTCCTTCTGCTTAAGCCTGTTCTTCAGCTGGGCCACTTCGGTGTCCACGCGTGTGGAAGCCTCCTCCATGATGGTGCCAATATTGGTGGCCAGCTGAGTGACCTCCTCCTTGTAGGCCTCGGCCAGTTTTTTGGCCTCCATTTTCTCCCTGGTCGCCTCTTCGCTGAGTGTAATGGCCTCCTCGACCTTTCGCATGGCCGTAGTTTCCCGCCTCGTGCTCTCCATTAGCAAGTTGTGGGTGTGGCTCAGCGAGAGCTCGTACTCCTTTAGCTGCTTCTGCAGGCTAGACACCTTGACCTGATCCTGGTCCAGATCCCTCAATTGGGATTGCAATTGCTGCACTTGCTCTCCCGAACTCTGCTTGTGCTCGTGCAACGTCCTTATGGTCTCCGCTTGCGTACGCAGCTCCTCCTGCTGGGCAATCACCTTGGACTCCAGCATTTTTATGGCCTTTGAGTACCGCTGGATAATCTAAAAGAATAATCCGAAAAATTTGTTTAGTGTAATTTAGGATTTTTTGGTTGTTTTCTGGTCCCCAAGATAAACGATAAAGTCAAAGCTTACTAAAAATTATTATTTTGGTGGTGCTACAGAATTAAGATGAGCGTTTGCCACAAAAACCGCTCAGCGCTGAATTCGCGAATAATTTATATTAATGTACATTAGGATTCAGCGCGAATTCAGCACTTTTAATATAAAAGTAAAAAATAAAATTGTGTGTAAATTAGCTTTCGAAAGTTATTGAGCAATAAAGATCGAAAAACGTTTTTGCTTAAAAAAATCATACGAAATTCAATTAAGTCAAGAATGTAAAGTAAAATATAATTCGGCAAATATTCATTATAATTTTGCAAACACATTTCACGGCTGCCAGGACATCGCATTTGCAATCTTTTTTAATTTAAATCCATGTATTTAAAAAAAAACCTAAACACTAAGTAGTGCCATTTCTATGTGGTGAAACTGGAATTTAAATAATGCCAATGAAAACAACGAAAGATTCTCACAAAATATAATATGATATGCTACCCGAATTTGGGTAATTTATTGTATAATAAGGACTAAAATTTGTAGGATGAGAGTTGGAAGAGATAATGAGAAAATGGATGGCCAATATCTTTTACAGGGATATCATTGGGACCAAGTTTCTGAATATGTATCGCAATCGGATCCTAGAACTGCTTCAATGCCGATTGAAACTGCGGGGATTTTGGCTAGATTCCTTAGTGGCGTTTCTGTTTCCGTTTCCGAATCAGCTTTAGCTTTGTCATCCGTTTCCGGTTCGATTCCTGGTTTGGTTTCAGGATTTATTTCAGGTTCCTCTAGCGGTTCCGTTTCAAGTATGAGTTCTGGCGGCAGACCTATTTGAGTGATGACTGTCTGTTCGGCCACCTTTCTCACCGCCTCCTTGACCGAATTTATGACCGCCTCTTTCATTGTTTCTAGTACATCTTTGGCTATCGGAATTTGCAAATTCAGTATAGACTCATGTAAAGGTTCGTTAGTTACTCCTCGGCTTGATCCTGCTTTCACACAGGATCTTGAAGATTTTTCTGGGGACTCGGTTTTTCTTTGTTTCGGGTTTTTAATAGTTAGTTGATGGTCAAATACCTTGCCTTCTCCTCCTAAGCCTCTCTTCGTCGTCTTTTTTTCAGTAAATTCTTCAAGAGATTCTTCGCATTCGGTTGCAGAAGAACTTTCTTCCGGACAAGTTTCTAGATACTTGTTTATTCGTTTTAATAGCTTTCTTGCTTTGGCTTTTCTTCGCTCTGAAGGAATCAAATATTTTGACAATTTAGTTTGTAGGTTTTTGTTGCATTTGTCATGGTCCTTTTTATAATTTTTTGTTTCTTTAGAAATTACTTCTTGATTAGTTTTAAGACCCTTTTTAAGAAGCTTTTCTTGATCTCTTATGATCGTGTTTATGAGAGAACTATCAAGGGATATATCTCTACTGTCAGAGGAGTAACTTATTTCTTGGCCAGCCTGCATATGTTCCCCCTTTCTCCTTGCTTTTGTCATTTTCCTGGAACCATTTCGCAGAACCTTTATATTCTTCATCGCCTCCTCTTGCCGATAGCTATCCATTTCCAAATATGAAACCTTTGGACTGCCAATCGTGGGAATCGAGAGGGGCTTTCGGTTAAGGGACAGTTTCCCCTGGGCATCACGATAAAGATTCATCTTATTACGCGGCATTTTAGTGCCAGGACCTATGTAGTTATCCAACACATCTCTAGAGGTCCCATTTTCCGGGGAGCACCAAGAAAGATCTTCCTGCACAAATAGCTCCAGACGAATGCCCGGTGCCAAGCCATCTCTGTTCGGATCCGCCACGTTACTCATTAAATCCATGGCCTCTTCATGGCGGAGCATCAGGTAATCCCATTCACCGCACAGGAAGTCCTTGGGATCCTGCGAGACAGCATAGTTTCTAGCTTTCCGGATGACGCTACGCGATTGTATATAGAAGCGATCAAAGGCGGTTATGGTATAGAACATTCGACTGGCGGTCACTGGAGCGACCAACCACATGAGATAGATGGTGTTCTCGGGTCTGTTAGACTCCTCCAGCTCGGCGGCAAGTTCCCTATCGGGCAGCATGGAGCTCCAGGTGGTCTTGCAAAACATCAGGACCAACGTCAAGTGGTTTTCGTAACGACGCAAGTCGTTTAAAAGTCCGCAATTGGAGAAACTCAAGTACCGGCGAGCTGGTCGAGTTTGGGGTCTGCCCTCGGTGCCAGCATATAGCAAAATGGCCAGGGCCTGCGGTACTCCCATCTCAAAGGAATCCGGCTTGAAGGTCAAACGGAATGGCTGATTATCGTAGATGATCGACACCTTTGTCTTGGGATCCTGGCCGTGTCTGTGAAGAAGGTGAGCCAAAAGACCCGAGGGAAATAAAACCTGCTCGCAATTGCCCAGAGGACATTTTCCAGGAGCCCGGGATAATTGACTTAAAATCCGTTTGCGACGAAGCTTCTTCATTTTCTCCTCCTCATCGATTTCCTCCTTCTCGTGTTGCTTTTTCGGCTGGCTTCCCTTTACCTTCCCTTCACTCATGTTTTCAAAATGTTGTAAATTTATACACAAAAATTATCTTTACTTTTCGGTTTTAAAAATATATGAAAAGTAGTATTCAAGACTTGGAAAAAGTACGTGTTGCTGTGGGCTTCCAAACTAAAACTGAATGGCATTCCGAAAGTCTCTTAATATAATCATTTGTCAACTGACATATTTTACATGGGCCACTTGGGCTTGGGAAAGTTTATATTTCAGCTGAGAAGTCTTCAAAAGTGTCTCCTTATAGTGTTATAAAAGGTATTTGTACCTTGCTAAAAGGTGACAATTTTCTAAGAATTTTATGGTTTCAGCGATCAACGATTTCTGTGGCCCCTTTTCATATTTTGTTTGGATATTAAATTATTAATGACTTTAATACCTGATCATCGCCAGACTGTTGCATCTGGACGCGATAGTTCCTTAGCTCCAGCTCCATGTTCTCGATGGTCCGTTTGGAAAAGTCCTGCATGGTCTGCAAGCTCTTCCGCTCCTTGAGTAGCTCTTCCACCTGCTTTTTGGCCGCGTCCAAAGCATTGTTGGTCAGCAGAAGGCGCTGCTTGAGATCCTGGTAATCACCATTGGCCAGGGTGTTCCGGCACTTAGCCAACTCGCTGTTTAGTCGGCGATTTTCCTCCACCACTCCGTTGACGTGGACGCGCAGATGGGCCTGCTCCTGCCGAAAGTTGCGCAGATCCTGGTTGGTGTCCCGCACCAGGCGCTCCACTCCTTCGGCCACATCCCGCACATTGCTGCTTGATGGGGGATTGGGTTATTTGCTGGCTTCATTACACAAATGTATTATTGCAAGATACCTGGGAAACGCATGCTTGTTTTCCTGATGTGTCATAATTATTTTTGTCTGATATCACATATGTATTTCCGAACTTTCTGGCGTTAGGTAGTCATTATAAAAATACAATTTTATGATTATATTGTGTTATTTTATAAGTACTTAAGTTGGTTTACATTTGTGTTTTTTTGTATCATTGTTCCTTTATAATATTAATAATTTAGTTTATTATTTATTCAGAAATAATATGAAATGTTCCTTTAATCAAGTAAGCTTTGAAGCAGGTCGTGTTTATTTATTTTTGGGTTCTCAGCCATTTTAAAGGAAATTTAATATATTTTTTTCCCGAATCCAATTAAACTGTCGTGCGGTTAGAAGCCCATTTTATTCCACCGGTTCTATGCCACTGGCAGACTTTTGCTGTCCGTTGTCAATCTGTGACCGCCTGCCACCCTTTAAGCAGGTATTTCTTGTAGTAAAAACCCAGGCACGAGTCCTGCCACGGGCGCTGACCCCCGACAAGTGTCCGTTGTCCTGGGCAACGGGGCAGTCAAAACAAATAGTCCAATAATCGGAATATGGTCAACTCTCCGTTTCAGTCGCTCGCCATGCCGCTCTTCAACAAGAAGTTCGAATCGAAGCCCATTCCGGTGCGTCAGGGTCGTTGCAATATTGGACATCCGGTGGCCACCGAGGAGCTGGACGACTTCCGCCAGATTTCCCTGACTCTGGGTAACAAGGAGCTGCGCTTTGCGGACGGCATCTGGATGCATTCGTCCAGAAAGGGCGACGTGGACGACATGCTCAGGCTAAACAAGAAGTTCCGGGCCCTCGAGGAGGAGAACAATATGTGCAACCTTAAGATCGAGGTAATGCTGGATCTCCTGGCGGAGCATGCCACGGAACTTGGTGAATTAAAGCCAAAGGAGAAATAATAAGAAAGAGAAATAAAATATATGTATAAAGTAAATATATATAAATAAATAAACAAGACAAGGAAATTTATTAAATAAAATAAATATACACCAAAGAAAGGAATTATTATTAAAAGGTTTCCTTAGGATTTCACGTTCTTAGCTTTCTTACAAATAATTACAGTATTCAATCATTAGATTTAAATTTTAGAATTTTTGTACATTTTTGGAATGCAATTAATAACATTAAAATTTAAAATAACATAAACTAGCTTCGGAACATTTTTCTTCGACCCTTCCCTGGTTTCTTTGGCACTTCATTTGTAATGTGTAAAGTGTAAAGTGTAAAATGCTCTTAAACTTTAAAACGTATTCTAGGGTTGATGAGTGCTAGAGGTATCGGCATTATCCTGTTCCCCTTTAGTGTCTGCCATAGCCTCGGAATGGGCCTTCCTGAGCCGGGAGTACTCCGCATCAAATTTGCCCATGAGCTTGTCCATATCCTTCTTGAAGCTGGACATCAGTTTTCCGTGCACCTTTTTAAAAACTTCTGCTTCATGCTTGTGGCGTTGTTTTCTGTAAAAGTTAAAAGCGTCGATTGAATATTACACTTAATAAAAATGTTTGGTCTCACAGATCAGCTAGATTGTTCTCTGTATCGGGACTTGGATCATTGCAAGAACGTTTAGCGTCGGCTTCTAATTTCTTATTGTCCTTCAGAGCATTCTCATATTTATTCTTAAGCTGATATTTGGCCCTGTAAATAAACAAAACAATTTAATTAAACACTATTGAAGATAGATGATTTAGCGTCTCACATTTCAGCTTCATATTCCTCCATACCGAAGTTTGAGTCATCATCAGAGGAACTTTCAATGTCCTCAAGTTGCTTCTCCATTTTTTGAGCTTCCTCGATGTCATCCATCAAGAGACTATCTTGGAGCTTGAACACATTTTTCAATATTTTTTGATTCACCTGGCACGGATTATTAGATAAAACCAGAAATGTTTGGCTTAAAAAGGATCTTACCGGATCTTGCATTGCTATAAGTTCATTTTCACTCTTCTTCATTTCCCTTTTGAATTGGTTACTTTTTGAAGTCGCGGACTTTTTGGCCTTTTCAATAAGTAATTTCATTGCACCAAATTCCATATCGCCCAAGACTCCTTGATTTTGATCCATTTTTATTTCTTTCCCTGAAATCAGACAAATTATTTTCGGAAATTTCTAGATCAACTTCGAGCAAGAGCCAAAAAAGCGATGAGATCTCATGAAGTTTCAGGACGTGACATGTGAAATAAAAATTCAAAGATATCTTGATTCTGTTTAAAAACAAAACCTATTTTAAGAAAAATAATTACAATTAGATTAGTTCCAATAAAATCCTTAAAATTCAAAGTTAATAAACTTAAGGTCTAAATAAAAGAGCGGTAAAATGAAAAATAACATTTTTTTTTAATATTAAGTGTAGTGCTATATCACCCCAATAAACTGTTATAAATTTATGAAAATTACCCATTAGGTTATGGGCTCCAGAGAAATCAAATCGAATTGCAAGCGCATTTGTTTATTTATCGTAAATACCATAAATAAAGTTTGACCCAAAGTTACCTAATTTCGATTAAGTCCCAACCACATACTTGAGATCTATTTATAATGCCACATTAATCAGTTTCACATGCCCATCGGGGGAGTTATCAAGAGGTCTGGCTGGGGGGCTTTTGTTGACCAGCCCATTGGGCATTAATTTGGATTTGTTGCGCGAGCATTGGAGCTGGTCAAATTGGTGGCATTGTTGTCGCCATTGGCAGCAATCTATAGACGCCATCAATGGTATCGCCGAGTTGCGTCGTCGTCGAGCTGCCGGTGGCTCCCGCTTCGTTTATAGGCCGCTTGATAAGCCCAACACCGCCCGATAAACCCAAACCAAACCCGATCGAACGGTTCGAATGCCGTGATAAAACCCAACCATGGGCCACCGATGAGCCGCACAAGAGCTGTATAAACAGAGCTATGAATTTACATGACCTCCTCCTTCTCCTCCCCCAATACTGTACTCGTATCTCCCTTTCAGGGGTTAGACAAATTTTCGGATCGCCCCGATAAAGCTTAGCAACCAGCTATAGCCGCAATGCAGTCTAATCTTCGGGTGGGGGAAGTGGAAGTACGAATAGCTGTGAATAGCGGGTGCCTTCACTGGATACAGTATGTACATAGGTGTCTGCCTAGGCCCCATATCGGTCCACTCCATCGACTACTGTATATTTACGCACCGATATTGATATGCGATAAGCAAAACTGCTTATAAAACACATTTATTTTGTTGTTCCCAGCAATGCCAGCACCTATAGCAATAGAACACTTGAAGAAATTGAAGTCAAATGTGGGTTTTTAATAAAAGATTTAATTTTATATTTACAAAAGCAAGATTATTAGTTCTAGTAAAAGCACTTGATAGTTGTATCTACAAGATATATATTCTAAAATCTCTCAAGATTTTATTGCAAGTTGACAACATGTAATGGATCATCAAAGTAAGTTGCATTATAATTTACAAATGTTATTTTTTTACTTTAAATTTAGTACCTCTTGGAATGGCATGCAATGGATCATCAAATAATTGGCAATTGGATTTTAACATATTGTTTTTCCAGTGCACTGCCCACGATGGCCGCTGCCGTCGCCGCCGAGGGGTAACACTTGTTCGAATCGTGTATTACAGTAGTTTGTTGATAGCCAGCCCCGCGAACGGAACGCGTACGGAAGAAAACGATCGCGAGATCGATGTGGCTACAATATTTACGGACCACAATAGCCAATTGCCGGGAGGAAAACAAAAGCACAAGCAATTGGAGCTCCAGACGGAGGAAAGCAAACATATTGCGAAATTCGCAAATTCCAGTGGCAAAGAGCGAATTGTGTGTGGCATTCAGTAACCGGAGAAGCAGACCCGGAGTTCTAACTGAAACACAAAAAAAAAAAAAATACGCCCTATCAGCAGAGCACCAGCGATTATGAAGCCATCATCGTGTCAGTTGTCCATCCGCTCTTAGCCACAGTGAGTGTGTTTGCGCCTATTTTGATTCCACTGCTCGGCCAGCTCGGTAAACAAATTGTCTATTAAACAATCAACTTTTCACCTAATAAATGATATCGTATAAATCAATTGAGTCGATGCCAATCAAGTGGGGCAACACAGATAAATCTCCATCACAATGGGCAGAGATCGCAGATCTTGGAAGGCGAACGAAATGCATAAACAAACGTCCCTCGCATCAAAAGTGTTTTATGAGTTTTGTGTTTCGTGGTCGGGGAGAGTGATCGAGAAATGATTTGTTCGTGACATTCTACTTAAATAAATTTATTTATTATATTAGAATGCATACAGAATATTTAAATGGCAAAGACAAAGGCTACATGTATTGCCAACATAAAAAAACAATCAAAACAAAAGCTAAATGAATTCAAAGATCATTTCATTCTATATTACCTCCAATCAAGTTGTATTTAAAAGTGTATTTCTGATATTTTATATCCCCAATGGAAATCATAAATATTCTCCAGCAGCATACCGTTCAAAATGGAACATTAATTTTTGAAAACGTTTCATACGCTCTCAACCGTTCTACGCGCTTCTCAATCTATCGAGTGCCACCGAAAGTTCTTTGGTAGCCGCCATTCAATTGATAAACGGGCATTATCGCTGCGGCAATGATTTATTGTTGCATAAATGGCACTCACTATTTATTAATAAATGAGAGGCGAAATTCTGATAATTTATATATATGAACAGTGTTCACCAAGGATTTGTGCCCCAGTGCTTGTGTTTGTGAGCCAATGTAGAGCACCCGTTCGCTTCAAATGGCCAAGTAAATAAACAAAAGTGGATTTTTACACTCATCACCGACAGCGCACAATAAAATGTGTGAAAAATGTGCTAGAGCGAGTGGAAATGCAACCGCGTAGACCAAATAAATAAATAAATAAATACAAACTTGGAGGAGAGCCTCGGATGTTTGCTAAGAAATTAAATGAAAATCGATCATTTGGGAAATAAACGAATGGCCAGTCAGTGGAATTCAAATAAATAAATGCCAGGCCATTGTGTGTGCCCCAAAGTAACTAATCAAAGTGTTCGACAGGTTCCTTAAGCGATAATAAGTGGAAGACAATGTCGCGGATATGCTAAATGGAAATGGATACGATGATTTGTGATCTGTGGTCTCGCCACATCTGGCTATTGATTCTCATTTGTTTCTGCGGCTTTGAAGAATCCAGTGGTTTTTTTGTGGACTATACAGGTGAGTTAGCGTTACCCTTAATTATACAAAATTAGGTTACGCTATCCCTATTCAAAGGGATTACGAAAATAAAATATTCAATATTATTTAGCCAGCTCTTTTTGTAACCCCACGTTTCCGCATTCATTCGTCAAAATGTTCAGAAGGTTAATCGCAATTTCGGGTAGCACAGCGCTTGATAAGATACTGTCATTTTGGCTATCATTGACACAGAAAAAAGTAAACAATTGGCATTGCCTTGATTGAATGGTTTGGAATTTTTTTTTCTGTATTTTTCGCTGGTGCAGAGAACACGGAGCTAATTCAACAGAGAGCCGGGTTTGATGTCAAACTGCAGTGCAATCTCAAGGGTCTCGTGGACGAGCGAATGTTGGATGACATCAAGATACATTGGTACTTCAAGGTATTTTTAGATTTTTAACTTTCAATAAAATCATTTTTGTTAAATACTGAACCCTAACTCTTTAGCAATGCAGTGAGAATAATTGCCATCATCTGGAGTCTGTGGACGAATGGACTGCTTTGCCCTGTGAGCCGAGTCTTTGCCGTCCGGAACTGTGGCTCCGAAATGTGACGGAGCGGTATTCGGGACTCTACAAGTGCAGCATTAATCCTCCCTTTTGGGATAAATCTCAAGCTGTGGATGTTCAACTGGTTCGCACCTATCAGCTGGATGTTAAGAGTGAGTACTTTCACTTAAGGTAATAATATGTCATATAAATTATCATCTTGTTCCTATTTCTAGACACCTCCTTGGCTGCTCCCGAGTTCGTGGACTCGTATCCCAACAACAAGACCACGTTGGTGGGCAGTCGGGTGGTGTTCCAATGCCGGGTTCACAGCGAGGAGCATCCCACAATCAAGTGGTTCCGTCGGCACACCTACGTGGGCACCCAGTCAGCTGGAGAGGCATCCTCCTCGTCATCGACGGCCTCCAATTTCAGCACACATATAGTCCGCTACAATGGCCGGACCTATGAGCTGCTGTCCACTGATCCCGAAAAGTTGATGGCACCACAGATATATCTCAGCAAGTTGATTCTGGATGGGGTGAGACTCAGAGATGCCGGTCACTACGCCTGCGTGGCCATCAGCTATCGGGGTCACAAGATCCGTGAGGCATTCCTCGAAGTGCTGCCCGTACAGGATGATCCGGATCAGGAGAAGGAGTACTGGTCGGACTACGATAGCGGTGGTGAGGAGGGTGTTCCAACTAGCGATCCCCGGGAGTTCCTGTTGCTCTTTCTGATGCCACTGGGACTGGCATTGCTCCCCTTAACCGTGTGGTTCAGTTATGTGTTGTACAAACGCTGCTCCGAGGGTCACGGCGATTGCCAGCGGATGAATTCGGATGAGGAGTTGGATACGGAAAGGTGTGTCCTAGGAGGAAATTAATACGAGGTGTCAATACCGAAGGAAGCTGCATTACGCTTATTAAGAATAAAGACTGTGTGTAGAGTTAATTTATACGATTTAAACTACGATTTAAATTTTAAAATAAATAAAATAAATAAGTTAAGTCAACTGAGCAACTTACCTCACTTGGGATCCCATTTGAGTTCCTGGAAGACGTCTAGTTTAGTGTCATTTGCTTGAATGTGATGGTTGTGTTCGAATGTTAAGGCAAGCTAGTTGAGCAAAGTTCAAAATTTTCGTCGTATGAAATTCCAAATTCGTTTCGTCTTCCGTTCCTGGCAGACACAGTCCTCATTTGGGCAACGTTGCCATCACCAAAACTAATTTCAGCACTTACATACACGCTGAAGCATCCTCACCGATCCTCAAGAGAACGATCACCAGAACTAATGATCCTTGAGATTTGTCTGCAGTTCCGTTTGGTGCGACAGTTTGATGTTCGCGTATATTTTCTGAGATTTAGTCTAAACGTGGTTAATCAGTTGGCACCCATTGAGGAGTCCTCTACTGGATATTATTTGTAACATAAGGAAGATCCACAAGATCTAGTGACTAGACAACGTAATGTCTGGATCAATACGAAGCCGCAGCCTTTTGGGAATCTACGAATACATCATGCCCGGAATTTATGACTATCGAGTGACCCATAGTGCCGCTGCCACAATCAGTGCCTATCAGCTTGATCCAGTACTAGACAGCGACTCATCCTCTTGGTCCATTCCCGATACAGATGCCCTTTATGTGGCCGGACCATTGGGAGTGATCAACTACCTCTCAGATGTTCAAACGCACTTGGCTCTGCCCACCAGTCAAAACCTGGAAACTGGTCTAATCTACACCACCATTAGCTCCATGTCACCCGACACCTATATCCATCACTATGTCCAAGTGGAGAATGATCTAGTGGATGATGAGGGCTACGGCTATGAGATTCCCCAGCTTGATCTCTGCCTAGACCATCTTATTTCCGAATCCGATAGAGCGGAGCAGGAGGAAGTGCATCAGTCCAGTGATTCCCAGCACTCATCGAAGGGTTACTCGTCGGTGGAGATCAGCGAGGAGTCGAGATCAGGGGAACCTGAACCAATCAAGGAAGAGGAGGTGCCCAAGAAGCGAAAAAAGATCTCGCACAGGCGCATCTATGAGGCCGAGCAGGGTTACCTGGTCGAGGAGCCCACCAGCGAACAATCTGAAGATGATACCGAACTGCCACACATATCCAGGACATAGATCCCAGTTAGAGTTCCGAAAATTTCAGCTCTGCGTTGACGTTCCTATTTCCCAATTTATTTTCAGCAGACCGATTTCCAGATGCGTTTTCAGATGTACATATAGCATACACACTACCTGTATTGCATATTGCATGTGTAGAAATGTTGAAGCTGTTCAAATTTGATTTATCGTTGCAATTTGATAGTGAGCTAAATATATATATTTTATAAAAATTTGCAAAATCAATTTGGATGATTAATTTTGACAAAAAGAACGATTTTTCGTCGTAGAGTGATCTTTACAGACAATAAACTAGGAAGTTTAAATAATTAGCATAATGGGATGCCTCGTCGTAAACTAAATTCAAAGACTTGTTAAAAGTTCAAAGACAATAAACGATTACTCAAATCTTTTGTCTTCGAATATTCGTCACATAAGTGTCAATTGCTAAACCCCCTTTTAGTACACAGTAGCACCTAGTCGAGACCTAATTTGCACTCCCATTGAGCAACTAATTTGATTATTCGCACATGTCCATCGACTTTGCTCTCAGTTGCTCACATCACATCGCTGAAATCACACGAAAAGTTGTCTCCCAGTCTCTCGGCTCTCTCTTTCTTTTTTGTATAGCCCTCTTTATCTCCACTTATCGCCCCCTCTCTTTCTAGTTGTGGGACGGGACTGCCCTCCATCGCCAGCCGCTCAGTTGTTGTACGGCTTTTGTTGCCATCGGACGTGACTTGTACTTATTTATTATTATTTTCGTAGACGGGCCAGCGAAATCGAAAACACTCGCTATAAAATAAACAAAAAACTATTTTTAGGCTGCAAATCTGAAATATATTTTCTCGATCAACTGCAGCAGGAGCATAGAACCCCTAATAATGGACTGCAAATCGCGTCGCGGCACCAAAATTTCGGTGATCGCCCTGGGAAGTGCCCTCTGTTTCGTTATGATGGCATACTTTGTGTTCGGCGACAGCAACGACGAGCAGGGTTTGCGGAATCTACGCATGATATCCATAGTAAGCTGGAGCTGCGACTAACATATTGCCATGAGCAACGCCAACTGAGTACTGTGTTTATCAATCCCCACCAGCTGTTCCGACACGGGGCCAAGAACCCGAGTGGCTTCTATCCGCTGGATCCGCATGCAGCCCACGATTGGCAGGGCGGCATGGGAGCTCTTACACCGGTTGGTAATAAACATAGTATCTATCTTATTAAACAACTAGAAACTAATCAGTGATCCACTAACCACTTGAGAGAAAATGTGTGAAATATTTATCAAGATCATGAATGCCAAAATTATATTTTTCAATTGCTTTCTACTTCACTTTAGTATCCAATCTACAAAATTTAAATCATTAAAAATCTACCCAAGTCCTATAATTACCAAAAAACCAATAAAAAAGTAGTGCTAAATCTCTCAGGAAAGTTAAGATTTTAGCAAAGATTGTGATATAATTTTCTAATGCTTAATAGATCATAATATAAAAGTTTAAGATATATATTGTTTATTGATTTTTGCGAACTTTTTGGTGTTTCTAAAATTCTAAATGTGCCTTAAGGTCTGGATCCCTTAAGTAAAAAGTTTAATGAGTTAAACATTTTAAATTAATTTGTTTTCTTGTTTTTTACTTAATCTTATAGAAAGGCACTCTACAGGCTTACAACCTGGGGAAGAATCTGCGCATACGCTACTACCGGCTGCTGCCCTCGAACAGCCTCTACACCCAGCAGCAGGTGCATGTCCTCAGTTCGGCGGCGGAACGCTGTGTGGTGCGTCAATCGTTCCGATAAGAAACCCCCTCTTAACTATTAACTATCTGTCCGAGATGGGGGTGCCCTAATCAGTTGGCCGTGTGTTATCTTTTAGATGAGCGCCCAGAGCGTCTTGGCGGGCATGATGCCGCCGCTGGAGAACAACAATGTGCTGCCCATTCCGTGGCAGCCGGTGGCCGTGAATACGCTATCGCGAAATGATGATATTGTGAGTGCAATCGTATATCCATAATCCAAGTGCAAGTCATTAAGCTAACAGTACGATATCTCTTTCAGTTATTGGCCCAAAAGAAACCATGCTTGAAATACGACCACATCCTGCAAAAGCTCTATAAATCACCGCCTGCTGAACTTCAGAAACTGAACGAGGATAACATGGAGTTGTACAAACTGTTGACAAAGAATACAGGCAAGGTGGGAGAGAGTATACAATTGTTTACTTAACTTTAAATTACTAATATAAATTGTACCTTCCCTTTATTCTTTTATTCCACATACTGAAATCCCTTAGAACATTTCAAATGTATTGGATGTGGAACTACTTTATGGCACACTTAAAACCGAAGAGGAGGCTGGGCTGGTGTTGCCCGATTGGACTGAGAACATATATCCCGAGGAGATCAGACCACTGGCTGAACGTAGCTATACGCTTTTTACCGAAACCAATCTGATGAAGCGGATTAAGGGTGGAGCCTTTCTTACGGAAATTCTCATCAAAATGCAGAATAAGCGGAAGAGGAACCTGAATCCCGATAGGAAAATATTCCTATATTCAGGACATGATGTGACGTTGGTTAATGTGATGAATTCCTTGGGGATATTGGATCAGACCACTAAGCTTCCTGAATATGCATCGGCACTAGCGTTTGAGCTTCATCACAGCAAGTCTTTCAGTGATGGCGACTTTGAAGTGAAGGTTGGTTATTGTAATACTAATAATACGAAGGTTTTAAATACTTAATTTATATTTTCTGCAGTTGGTTTACTACTACAACAGCGAAGACAAATTCCCCAAGGAGCTGACCATTCCCAATTGCGATGCACCCTGCTCGCTTACCCAGTTCGAGGCCTCTGTGAAGGCCCTACTCCTGGATAACTATGATGAGACCTGCGAAAATCATCCGACTGACTGCAAAAACTAAAGATTTTTGTTGGTTGTTATCGTTTCTGTTTTGTTGAAAGTGTGTTGCTCAGGACATTTCAAAGAAATGTTAACTTTTGGGTTACTAAATATAAAATCTATGGTTATATTAAATAGCTTTAACAGAAATATAAGTCAAGTTAACACATAAAGTGAAGATGTAAAGTGAAAAGGGATTTGTGTGAATTTCTCAAAAAGACAAATAAATTGGATAACATTTTCCAATGTTCTATTGTAATTGTATTATAATTTCTTTGTTCTTAAGCTTTCCTCTTTTTTAAGTTTATAGTACTTTTGGAAAATATGTACAATAGTTCGACAAGAAGGCTTTTTCTGACATTTCACTATTCTGAAGTCAAAAGCTGGCACCTTTGTCCTCAGCATACAGAAAATATATGGGAACTTTCACCTTATCGCTGACATGAACGATCTCTGTGTGGCTAATTAGACGGATGGCAGCCAGTCCGTAGAAGAGCATAGGTAAGCCTAGAATGCAAGGATAAATTCACTTTAAAGTAGTAATAGAATATGGTTTATAATACAAGAACTGGTACTTAGACTTACCCAAATTAATCACCTTCAGGAAGCGAAAGAACTTGTCCTCCAGCCAAAGATCCTGAATTTCCCTTCGGCTACAGTGATACTTCATATACGGATAACAGGCGGTGCGCAGAATGTGGTAGTTGGTTCCACTTTCCAAAGTCCAGTTGAAGTGGGACATTCCCCGCTGATCGTTGGTCACATCCCGGAACTGGAATTGGTTATCCTGGTATAATAGCTAATTGGTATTGGAGATAAGCGCCTCCTACCTTCACGAAATATGATGTCCAGGGTGGTTCATGGCATTGTTTCAAATATGCGGTCAATACTTCCGAGGCTCGAGGCTTCAGTAAAAGGCGGGTGAGCTGCATTTTGTAAACGAATTACAACCTTATTGCATCACAGAATAATAACATTTGGCTTCGGGAGCAGCGTGTTTGTTATTATTTGTGTGCTCTTATCGAGCTATCAGCTGTTTTGCTATCGATAGTTTCAGGGATGGTATATCAGACCTGTGCAGAAAAATAGCTAGAAGAAAAAGCCAGTTATTAATTAGGGGATTCCCCGAACCGTTGATTTGCTGAATGGTTGAGATTCGGTCAATGCAATTCAATTTTCAAAAACTTTAGCAATTCAACAACCTGGATTCCATAATATAAAAATGAAAAAATAATTGAATTTTTATAAAAACTTACTTCGGACTTAAATATTAAAGGAAAGAATATCAGATAGACTTTAAGACTTTTATTATATTATATTTCTCAAAAAATATCAGAGTTTTGGAATATTTAATTTATTTTAACCCAGAATAAATGTTAATATTTGTCTGGTAACTTCTGTAATAAGTTCTTATAGAGACGTTAGGGATCGTAATCGCTAAAAGTTATTAAACAACGATTTATGGCTTATTTGAGATAGTTAAAAAATGATTTTTATATTTTGAATTAATATGTTCGGGCTGATTTTCATATTTGACCAGAGTAATAGCAAAAAAAAGTGATATGGTTGATAAAAAAAAAAGTTAAAAAAAAGTATTCCTATATTAGCCTCCTGGCGGTTAGAAGTACTAGCAAGAGCACCGATCTGACGGAGCACTTTACGCTGGACGACAAGGTGGCCAACGAGGAGCTCCTGCAGTATGAAGAGGGCTCAAAGGAGCGTTTGGAACTTGAGACCGCCCTGCTGGGAGTCCTCAATAAAGTGGAACACGTTCCGATCGTTATTAACGGTCAGGAGTTTCAGGCCAACGAGGAACTGCAGCAGGTGCTGCCCTACGATATCCAGAAGCCCATAGCCCACTACGGCCACGCCCACCGCGTTCTCATCCAAATGGCCATCGATAAGAGCCTGGAGGCTCAGGTGCAGTGGGACAAGACGAGACTCAGCGAAAGGATTGATATTTGGGAAAGGGCCGCCGATCTGATAGCCGGAAGATACCGCTACAACATCATTGCGGCCACGATGTTGGGCCAGGGAAAAACGCTGCGCCAGGCTGAGATGGATGTGGCCGAATTGGTGGACTTTATGCGAATTAACCCGGTATTCCTGCGCGAATTGGCCAACTATGAACCTGTCAACGATACCCTACGGGAGTGCAGGAATTCCATGAGGCTGAGAGGACTGTCGGGTAAGAGAAAATATATCTTTCCATTCAATAGATTTAATAATTAATTTGAAATCTCCAGGATTTGTGGCCGCCATCAGTCCGTTCAACTTCACGGGTATCGCCGGCAATCTGGCCTACACGCCCGCCCTGATGGGCAACTCGGTGCTCTGGAAGCCCTCCGATTCGGCCATTCTCTCCAACTATTTCGTCTTCAAGGCCATGAGGGAGGCGGGCGTGCCCAAGGGGGTGGTGAACTTTGTGCCCGCCGAGGAGACGACCTTCGCCGCCGCAGTGACGCAGCATCCGAAGTTGGCTGGGATTAATTTCACTGGCACCTCGACGGTTCTGAAAGTGCTCTGGCAACTGGTGGCCCAGAATATCCATTACTACGAGAACTATCCCCGTTTGGTGGGCGAGGGTGGTGGCAAGAACTTCCACTTCGTTCATCCCTCGGCGGAACCCGAGACGGCGGTGGCCTGCACCATTCGAGCGGCCTTCGAGTACTCCGGCCAGAAGTGCTCCTCCTGCTCGATGCTGTATGTCCCGCAATCGCTGTGGGAGAACCACATTCGGGAGCCCCTCCTGAGGGTCACCGGTTCCCTGGTCACCGGACAAGCCACCTACTGCGACACTTTCTGCTCGGCGGTTATCAATCGACGGGCGTATGATCGCATCTACATGTGGCTAAGATATATCGCCCAGAGTCCCAGTTGTCGGGTCTTGATCGGCGGAAACTGTGACAAGCGAGTCGGTTACTACGTGGATCCCACGGTTGTGCAGGTCAGAGATCTGGATAATATTATATGTCGTGAGGAGCTGTTGGCGCCCATTCTCGGTGTCTACGTTTATCCGGATGCGGAGCTCCAGAAGACCATGGCCAAGGTGGTCGAGATAAATCATGGACTAATAGGATCGGTGTTCGCCAGGGATCAGAGATTCATTGAGGAGGCCTACGAGGCCTTCAGATTCAATGTGGGCAGCCTCAATGTGAATGACAAGTCCACGGGTTCGATGGTGGGAAAGCAGCCTTTCGGAGCGGGTCACATGACAGGTACCAGCGATAAGTTGGGCTCCCCTCACTCCCTGCTGCGTTGGACCTCGCCGCAGGTGATAAAGGAATCCTACAAGCCACATATGAACATCTATTATCCGTATATGGAAGTCAGCGAGGTAAGGCAAGGTGTCGTTCACATGAAGAACGAGCAAAACGAGGTGATTTCCGAGGATAGAAGCTCCTTTGAGGATCCCGATAAAGAGGACAATCGTCTGATATAACATTCATTAACAGCCATTCATAATCAAATTTCTGTGCAATAAATAAAATAAGGAAAATTATTGAATTTTTATTTTATTAGGTACTATTTTAAAACTTAACTTCTCTTTTTATTTTCCCGATAGTGACAAATCATCTAAATATCTTTTCGTATAAAGTCAAATATTTTGTATAGTTACACTTAATAAATACTAACCACTCAAACGAAAACCGCAAATTCGTGAGAAAAACATGAGATGTCTAGATATCTGCTTATTATTTCGTTCATACTTGTAACACCCCCTTTGGTTCCAATCAGTTCTGCAGAGGCAGAGAATCAAGAACTCAGTGTGGGTCCTAAGGAGGCCTCATCTGGATCGAAAAACCAAAACGACATGGGACCTACGCATTATAGTAGATTGTATGATGCATATCGACAGCGATTAAAGGGAGAGGGAGATGATACCGAGGATGAGGTAGAAATCGATTCGAAAGATGCACCACTCCAAAGAGATGTAGTCGCATTAACTAAGAAATCAAGCCAACCCTTGGCTGCAGAGAAAGACTCTACAGAACTTCCCATTATCAAATACGATGCAACCGAAGATCGACCCATGCCATCGGCAAAATGCCTGGCCCGTCTTCCCTATCGAAATAGGGAAAATCAAAGTGTTAAGGCAAAAGTCGAGGCTAAAACTCCCCTGGTAAGTAGTATGATTTTGCTGAAAATGAATGTGCCCGAAAATGTGTTACGAGTCAAAACACCGGAAAACGCGCAGGATCCTGGCGAGCGACGAATTTTCGAACTCAATCGCATTTACAAGGATTTTCTGAAAGCCTGGCAACAGCCAACACCCAGTTTGGCCTCGGCCTCCAAGACGGAAAACCCAACCAAACCCATTAGTTCTTCGGGATCTGTAAGATTGAGCGCATTGTCCGATTTAATGGATGTGATCGAGCGCCTTCAAAAAAGCGATTTGGTTAAAGAATTGGCCAAAAAGATAAGCGAGGAAATGGAGCCCAACCTACAGAATCAAATCAAGCAGGATGCTCTTCTGGTGACAGAAAGTAGGGCTTCTTTGAGAGCTATTAAAAAAAATGATCTATCCGGGATCTTTGAAAACGAGGAACCCGGAAGTGCTTCGAAAGCTTTCAAAAGTTTACTAGATGATATAAACTCAAGAAGATCAACCATTAAGGCTGGTGGGCTTTACGATGAGTACAAGAAGGGCTTTTGTCAGCTATTTAGTGATCATAAATTCCCTAGGCAGTCGCTAATTACCAGCGAAGCCGATTATCCTTTAGACAGCGAATCAAGTCGCAGGATGAATGGGGACGACAACTTTCCCAGTCAGAGTGATAAAACGAAAGCCACTCCTTTTAAGAGTATCGAACCTGAAATAAGGACACCCACCAAGATCTGTGTTCCGGTGGCAGCTCCAAGCACAAACAACAATAATAATTATCTGAGGGCTCTGGAAACCTTTATCAAGTTGAACAAGGAGAGTAATAAGAACGGCGGCCTAAAGCCTTATTACTTGCCGAATTCCAAAAACCGTCAGCTCATTTGGAATGACATTCCCCTAATAAAGCCAGGCCTTAGTGAAACACCCAAGAAAACTTCGGAGACTAAGTCGAAATATAAGCCCTCTAGCACTCCCATTCAAGAGAATGTGATACCTGAAAAGGAACCACCAAATAAAGCAGCTACCTCTAAGCCTGATCCAAAATTAGAAACTAAATTCATAGGGTGTGTTCCCAAGATCGAGACCAAAGCGCAGTCTATAAACCCTTGGCAAGAAGTTTTCTCTGGAATGGATCCCAAACAAATTATAAGCGGATTGAAGGCCATTAAGCAATCTTCCTTCTTTAACTTGGTGGATGAGTACCAAAAGCAGATCGATAACCTTAATCAGGCGTTAAAAACAAAGCAGAGTTGGTGGAAGGAGGTCCTCGAGAGAGGCAAATCTCCACTGGGGACACCCGCGAAGAGGAATATACTCATGGGTAATTCCCCTTCCGGATCTTCACTCCCAGCGCCTTTTCCCGAGGTTTTAGTTAATCAGGCTCCACAATTAATGGGTGGTGGTAATAATGTCATTGATAACATGGCCACCCAAATGAATCTCTCACCTGTGGAGCTGGCCCAAAGAATTGTGGGAGGTGGTCAAAACGCAGCAGTAAATTCAGGAGATGGACGAGCTAAACTAGTGCAGAATCACCTACAACCAGGTAAGCAAGTAAAACTATAGTTATATCATTATTTTGAGTTACGAAACTCCTTTTAAAAGCAAGTCAGATCGGAAGTAGCTTCAAAAGAGGACCTGAGGTCTTGTGCCAAGTTCCGTGTCAATCGATGGGTCAACCGTCACAGCCACAACAGCAGCAACAACAGCAACAACAGGAGGAGCAGTCGGGGATTTCCCCGGTTTTAGACAAGATTCTGCAGCGTTTGGAGAATATTCAGGCTACCAAATGCAACAAGTCCGCGGAAGAGGAGGAGGAGAAGAACCTGCCCTGCTGCTTTGTGGATCCAGCCGATGGTAAGTTCCCTAAATCAAGCTAATATATGTAAAAACTCTTATTAACTTTAGGTTCCCCCTGTGACCTAAACGGCTCCTGGGAGTCCCTTGTCCTGGGAGTTCGCATAAATATCAAATCCCCACCCATGACTTCGGATGGCGAGGAAAAGGCGAGGCCCTCGTGTAGTCAACACAAAGGTGGTCATTGTCGATTTGTGCGTCAGTGCGTCAAGATGAACAAGACCCAGTTAAAGGATATTGCCGAGGCCAAGGCTCCCAATTTTCAAGGCGTCTCGCTGAACATAAGTGTGCAGGAAACAGTGCCGCCGCGAGCCCACGAACTCCTCGACAATCTCACCGACTGGCACTTTTCCGGCCACACCCTAATGGTACTCGGCGGACCGCTTTCGCTCTCCTTCCGCAAGGCCAATTCCAACCTGATCGGCCACTTCATCGGCTACTGTCGCACCTGCGGCTGTGTGGACACCATTTTTGGCTCCTGGAGCTTCTGCCAGCCGTCGCGCGATTGCCAGGATATCTGCATGTCCATCGTGGACAGGCGGGATATGTTGCGGCGATATAGCATGGATGAGCGGCGAAGGAATCGCTTCAAGGAGCTGCTCTACACGGGCAGCAAGTTCGCCAAAATGGAAAAGGATCGGCTGCTGGCCGAACAGGAAAAGTACCAGAAACTCAGGTCCCAAGCGTCGAGTGAAACGGATGCCAGTATTCCTAGTTCTAAAAGTCAGACTTGTCCTAAGATGTGATTTCAAATTCATATTTTTAACTTTTCGGTTTCGTTTTCGTTCATTATTTATTTTTGATAATTTTATAAAAAGTTGATGTTTTTTAGAGAAACTTTCACCGAAATAAAATTGATAAAATAAAATACATTTTATTTATTTTCAGTTAATGCCCGCAATTGATTTTGCCAAATTACAGTATTTCTTACAACCGATTCGCCTGCGTTTTCTGGTGGTGAATAAATGACATGGTAAAGCCAATTGAACGCTTCACGCAATGCTCGTCCATCTGTCCATTCGAGGTGCATCGCCTCAACTGATCCACCGCAAAGTCCTCAATCCGCTTCTTGGTGTCCTCGTTGTCAATACGCTCCAATCGCTTATCCACCTTGTGCATCAGAGCGTATGCCGCGGGGAAATGACCCACATCGCAGGGCCAATTGGAGGAGTGCGGATGGGGAGACTCCGCTAAAGTTGCAGCCGGCCATGCCGAGTAATCCTCATCAGATCCGGGAAAAGTACTCGCCTGGACCAAAGCCAGGGCAGAGATGATTAGAATCGCCAGGGTAGTATTCATTTCAACCACTGTTGCTAAACTGTGGAAATTCATTCTGTAACAAACCTTTTTATAGGCCCAACACAACAACAAGACACCTGCTGTGCTATCTGCTAGAATTATTGTGGGAAAAAGGGCTTTGTCCTCACAATGTTGCTAGTCAGGCACGAGCGTCTCAATAATTGACAGGGTCAATGTCAAGCCACTGATTAGCAGACGTTTGAATTAATATATTAATTAAAATAACGACACACTAAATCGACGACATAATGTTTGGTAGCATCAGGAAACTGAATGAATCATTATTTACAAAATAAAATTTATATTTTATTTTTTTTAGGCAATTTACTTATTATTTACAACTATCAAAAAATGTAAAATATGTTGAATAACTATTTGTTCCTATTGATCTCATTGGTAATCCAGCCCACGATGTCCTGACGCAAAACAGTAAACCATTATATAAATTATTCGATACAATATGGAACACCACCCACCTGAATACCAGAGCCTGTCTGCATTGAACATTCTTTAAAAGCCCAATCCCGACCATCTAAGCGATCCAGACCCATCAAATCGGTCACTGTGGATAATGGCAGAGATCCCGGAATGTCCTTTTTGTTGGACACGATCAGCAGAGGAGCTTTGTTGAGCTCCTCGTGCATCAGAACATCGCATAACACACAACGAGCCTCGCTTAGACGCACTGCATCCTTGCTGTCCAGTACGAAAATCTACGGTTCTACGCTTAAAGTCGAATCTATAATTTCCGAAATACTTTTCTCACCAAGACCTTGGCCTTTTTGTAATAGTTTGGCCAGATTTGCCTGTTCTTCAGTTCCCCGTTAATATCCCACAACTGCACTTTGGCGTTTTTGATTGTGAAGCTCCACTCATTGGCCTGCTTATTAGTTTCTTTGGCCTGTAAATATTCAAGGCTACATTTGGCAGAAGGAAAAAACCTTGAGTCTTACATTGCCATTAAAAGCCTCTGCAAGGCGCGCTGTCAAGGTGGATTTTCCAGCATTATCCAATCCTAAGATGAGCAGACAGGATTTTTGTGACCCCTTGGGCAGGATCTTTTTGATGAGCGAAACGGGTCCGTTAAAGCACATGGAGATCGAAATTTAAAGTGTCTTTTGTAAAATTTTAGAATGATTTTAAGTTATCAGGTAGAAATAAGTGATTTACAAATCACTGCCCTCTTGGTTGTTTTGATATTTTGTTTACTCACTAAATTTATTTTAGATTTGAAAATGAAAATTTTTGTATAAAACTGTTTCCTATAAGGTTTTGAAAGCATCGAACATTAAAATTAATTCGCAATTCTTCCTAAAATATAAACAAATCCAAATCGTGAAGAATTTAAATATATTATTTCAAATAAAAGGTTAAAATCTTGTTTATATTAAGTGAAAATAAAAGTAGGTACGTATATTTAGATCTTAAAGACAACTTAACAAGCGACGATTGCGATATTTAAGATTACTTCTTCATGTTCTTGCAGACCCAGTCCATTCCCTCCTTGAGGCCAGTGCCATCCACAGCGGTGCAGGCCTTGATCTCCCAGGTTCGTCCCTGCAGTTGGACCAAACTCATCTTCTCAGCCACCTCGGAGGCGCTCATGGCATCCGGCATGTCCTGTTTGTTGGCGAAGATCAGCACGGGAACCTGCTTTAGACGGTTGTCCATCAGCATCTCGAACAGCTCGCTACCCGCTTCCGGCAATCGAGCCCGATCCGTACAGTCAATTACATAGATCTAAAATAAATATATTTTATTTTATAACAATAAAGGATTGAAATCAATAACAGACTCACCAGCACATCGGTATTAGCAAAGTAGTTCTTCCAATATGGACGTATCTTCCATTGGCCGCCGATATCCCAAACATTTAGCTTAAAACCATCGGCTGCCACGGACTTGATGTTAAAGCCAGCCGTGGGCGTAACCTGCGGGATTTCACTCCGTATTTTATGGGGGAAACGGAAGAAGTTCGCCGCTTTTATACGCACCGTGGTAATGTCCTCCGAGGCCATTTGCTTCAGTATCGTTGTTTTGCCCGCATTATCCAGGCCCAGGAGCAGGATGCGAGCCTCCTTCTCCGGATTGGGTCTCAGTTTACGCAACAGCGATAGCAGACCCTAAAATATTTGAAATATAATTAATATGTTCTATGCAATGTTTGGAAGAAAAAAAAAACCGTAGCCCGAATACCATTAAACAAGTTATTCTTTAAAAAGCCTATTCTTGGTAGTATCCTCCAATACAACTTTGCAATGTATGATCCATCTAAGAGATTATTATTTTCTTAAAAAATTTGTAATTGAGATGTAAAATAAAAAAACGTTCATGATAAGATATAATAATTTTCACATAATCGAAATGAAATTAGATCTTGCTTAACTGGAATAAAAATCCAACAAGAAATTATTAAAAAGCTTGAGGGTATTTATTTACCACCAACGCCTTCTATTTAAATAAAAACAAAAACAATTTTTTTTAAATAACAAAAAAGAGTGAAAAACAATAAGGCCCTTAGTAATAGATTGGAAAGAGCTTATCAACCTGTGCACTTATCAAAAAAAAATTGTTTGATTTCAGATAAGAGCGTGCAACAAAAGCAAAACAGAATTGTGATTGATTGGGATTTATTGATATTACAAAAAGCCAGCCATATTCCACTAATTAAATATAATGCATTAATAAAAAATATGCATACCTTTCTATTTTTACCGAATTTAAAATTTAAGATATCTTAGAGTGTTACAAAAATTTCTTTTGCATTAAATATACATTTTTATTATTCGCTAGAAAATAAAATAAAAATAAATTTCTTATATTTAGGACGATGAAAACATTAATTTTAGATAAAATATACATATATTGGTTGTCGATTGTAAGTTATTTCTGTAGCACTCCGGTTTTATAAAGCTAAGTAACAAAAACCCGTTAACATTTTTCCTGATTTTCTGTTTTTTGCCTCTATTTAAATATCGATAAGTGCGCGCCAAAAACTTTCGGGGTAGTGCTAAAAAAAGTTATTTTCGATAACGAAAAAGTGCTGGAAAGTTTCGGAAGCGTGTTACCATGGAGACGATCGCAAAATGAAAACAAATCGTGCAATTACGGAATAACAAGGCACTTAATTGGCTGTTACGGAACCGGGCGATAACCTACCATCCTATAATCTACGCGGGAACGGTGGCCAGCAGGCGGGACGATCTCCGGCGTCACTATATCTTCGATTCCCGGGATCCGGTGATCCGCTGACTGCCCGGCGACGGTGTCTTCTGGTGGAGGAGGTGTCTTCAGGAGAGTTCGGGACTTGGATCGACTACTTCAACCACCAAACACAACATCACAAGTTCAGCGCTGCACAACAACTGAAAACAAATTCGCTCAACGCTCCAACAAATTCCGGCAGCAACAACAGTACGTCGCCGAGGCAACCGCTGCAAAGGAGCGAAAGAGAGGGGCCGAGGAGGTGGCGGTAGGTGGGGGAGCGGATTTGGAATTGGAACGGGAACGGGAAGAAGATGCCCCTGCTATTTACGGGCTTCAACGCATTTGGCCAGCATGAATGTGTAAGCGGCGACGTCGACTGCGCGGCCGGCTTCAGCGGTTTGTAACCGGCAACAAAAGCCGATCACTTAGTTACCACAGTGGGCACTCGATAAATGAAACCTTGTTTATATAGAACTTGAAACCACTTAAATAAGCGATTTATTGAACATTTTATAGAACCTCTATAATATTTGATATCAAGCAAATATCTGACTTAAAGTATTTTTTCTTCTGCAAATGCTACATACATTCATATATAAATAGTAATATTATTAAAGATTCCATTTAAAATGTTATATTTATCTTAGTTAGATTTAAAGTCAAAGAATTTCTTTTCTCAATAGTTTAAACTTTAAAGCAAATTTTATGAAGAATTTTTGTTCCTCAATAGTTTAAATTGCAAAGCCAATTTTATAACTCAATGTTTTGAGCCGTGCATAGAAGACAGACTGTATTTTAATTGGTTCTGATAAATTTTAATCAACTAAAACAGTGCTATGAACTTTAATAAATTGACCAACCAGCTAATCCCAATTTATAATGCTTAAGTAAAAGGGAATATAATTAACAGAACATAAAAATTTCCCCTAAAAAGGTATAGAAAAGTAGAAAAATCAATTTATACAGAGTTTTCACCGTACGCTTACTAATTCAGTCCTGCCTTTATTACAGAAATAAATGTGCCAGTCTCGACCCAGAACCAGTGCACGATTTCGATCGGCTGGCGGTATGCGGCCCTCGCTCTTGGCCGGAAGTTGTGGCTGCGTGGGCTCTTGGATGATGGCCCAAACGAGTGCGTGACCCTCGAGGCAACGGGGGACATTAAGGCCCTGGCCGCTGGCGATTCCCACTGCCTAGTGCTACTGCATAGCGGACAACTCTATAGAGTGCAACCAAAACTGCAAGCGGAACTATTGGTTGTTAGACTAGAAGCTCCTCCCCGATCCAATTCGGGAACAAAGCGCTTTATCTTTGGGGCTCCCAAGGCGCCTTCATCGCCGATCATAGAGCACATTGCCTGTGGTTCGCATATAAACGTAGCGATTAGCGCGGAAAACTCCGTGTACAGCATTCCCAGCTGCCTGCACCAGTTTTCCGAGCGTCAGTTTCGAGTAAAGCAGCTCCAATGTGGCCATGAACACGCCGTACTCCTCAATGTCAACGGTGACGTGTTTACCTGGGGAAACGGACTGTAAGTAAAGACCTTAAATTCTCTTTGTTGTGCAAAAAATACCTTTGGAGAGGGGTGTCTTACTTTTACCGGAAGCTTGTATATAGAGGGGGAACATTTTCTCCGAAAAATATGTATTTTTTATAAATTATTTGCGTTTTGGCTTCAAGATTTATTTAATAAATTCTCATTTTATCTTTATAACCCCAAGTCATTCGGGGAAACCTCTTATTTGCAATAAGACTTACTGTAAGGGTATACCACATTTTAAAGCCCCAATCTAACGATTTTCCTATACTAATTTCTTACAATTTCTGCACTTTTGTGTTATAATTAACAGGCGCGGACAGTTGGGTCAGGCCGTACTAAAAGTGGAGGAGACGCCGCAATTGCTGGAGGCGCTGGCGGGGATCAAGGTATATATTTGCCTTGTCCACTTATCTTGGCTGTCACACATTCAAGTGTCTTGCAGATAACTCAAATTGCTGCCGGTGGTTGGCACAGTGCGGCCATATCCGCCTTCGGAGACCTCTACACCTGGGGCCTCAACTGCAGCGGTCAGCTGGGGATGCGTGTGATGAAACCCGGTGGCTTCCTAAAAGAGCCTACTGTATATCCGCTGCCCCAGTTGCAAGATCTGCCCGAATGTGGTTGCTCCAAAGAGGCGGAGAATAGCGATGACTGTGCACCGCTGAGGGTGTTCGCTGGATCTCGTCACACTCTACTGATCCGCCGGTGCGGGCGGCCATGGGCCAGTGGTTGGTGCAAGCACGGTCAGATGGGCAAGCAGCTCCAAAACCTGTCTTACGTTGACGCATTCCAGGCACTGGATGGCATCATGATGAACACTGCCTCCGATGATGTCTTTTGCGGTCCTTGGTCAACGGTGCTTCATTTGAAGGAACTAAGAAATTGAGAACACCTGTCTCGTTAAAGAGGAATATACAATACAATATAAATTTAAGAGTTAAGAGGGTAAGTTTCTTTTTAAAAGCAAAAAAAAAATTCTCTCTTATATTTTCTTTAAAAACTATTCTATCAAATTTTCTAAAATAAAAAGAATTATTTAAAAGGCTTATTGTTATAATTAAATTCAACTGAAAAAGCTTTGTAAAAGCTGTTCAATTGTTAACACTGCAAAGACACCCACCATTCTACTACACTCTTTTCACCGCGTAAAGTAGAGAAGTAAAGGAACCGTGTAAAGTAGAGAAGTAAAGGAACAAAGTTTTCGATTCCATAATTATTCTGGTTATCATGTTGCCGTTGTCGACTAATACTTGGTACATAACTTCACATAATCTTTTTAATCTTGATCATTTTAAGAACTGGCAGTTATATATCTTATTTAGGGTTAAAACGATTTTAGCAAATTGAAATATGGTTAAAAACGGTCATTGTACAATGTACATATTGTCTATATAGATTCCTCATGTATGATTTTAAATGTGTAAAATTAAAAAATGTTTACAATTTGGTTGCTGTTGTTCGTGTTGTTTCTACGATTCCACGAAACCAGTTTGACAGTTAGCATTAGCATGGCCAATAAATACTCGGCAATACTTTTTTTTGAGTTTTAAGTGACTTACAGAACAAAATAAATTGGGCACGTCCCGTAAAGAAATTGGCAATACTTGTAATTACTTAAGTAGTGTAAAGTCATGTAAAATTGAATTTTTTTGACTGATCAGGACTGACTTTTCTTTGACAAGTAGGCCACGAAATAATTTTTCTCCTTTCACTGCAGTTGAACAAAATTACTGAAACCAAGGACGGCCAGGATCTACGGAACATTCTTGAGCATGCCGTAAGTTCAGATCGCGGCAGGATCTGGTTCCTTGAAAGCAATTCCCTTTCCATTCCCAGTCCCAGCGTATTTTGCATCCTAATTTGGCGCCTGACAGTGCAAATTCTCTATCCCGACGGATACATGGGCTGTTCGCTGCAGGAAGCGCTGCACAATGAGCATCTGATTTGGAGCAAAGGGGATAGCATGGAGGTCCAGGTGAAAATGCTGATGAGGGACTCCTTCCGGACCACGCTGATGCTCGTGATATTGATAGAGATGATGAACACGTTGGACGCATTCATGAATATTCCGATTCCCAGGGTCAGGGTCATTAGACTTTAGTCTCGGGTCTGAACTCTGTCCCTGTTTATTGCTCTCCTTCATCGGTTTATATTGCCCCATCAAAACAACAGAGCTCAAATAATTTCGTCTTGGGGTAGGACCGCCATTGTGCCAACGTTCGTCGACGTTGTTCGTCGTCGCTGCCCATTTAATCAGTAAATTGTATTTTTAAAAATGTTATTAAACAATATTTGCCTTAGCAAAAGTCAGACGCTCGCAGGGCAATAAACTTTTCAGCACTTGAGCCGTTCGCTCGACTGACTGAATGACTGATTGGCTGATTGACTGACCGACTGATTGACCGAACAAACGACTGACGTTGGGATTTTTTCTTTGTTTTAACTTTAACTCGGCGAGAACTTGTGATTATTTCGATTTCGTGGAAGTGCGTTCCATGCGAAGGTTTCGATAGGAATTTCATGCGTGGCATATGGGCTATATTCGTTCTGATAACAGTTCAATTGATTCGACTGGGAAACGCTCCTTTCGATTGCGTAAGCTTTCTTGAAATGGAATTTTTCAGAAACTTTTATGTTTCAGCGGATAGCAATTAAGCTGATTATAAAATATGACATAATAAGGATTTATATGAACCTATTTGCTTGCGATTTAAGTTTCTCTAAAAGTCATTATGAAGTACAGTTTTTTTTACTTATTTTTTGTGTTTACCATTTTAAAAACGACATTTGTGTAATTCAAGAAAACACTTTAAGAATCTTCTTTATACTATAACTGTGTATCTCCAAAATATATATTGAATATTTCTAATTTTTAGAAGACTATTTAAGATACATTTCTTCCTGCGCCTCCCACCACTTATTAATGCCTTTATCTGTGTTCACGATCCTATAAGCGAATTTTCCGCTTTATAGTCTGCGAGCGAGTTCAACGCTTTTATGTTATTTGCCAAATGAAAAAGTAAAAAACAAATGTTTATCTTATAATGCACTGGGTGGCAGTTCAGTGGAGTTCTGGCGACTCGCACACATGGTGCGTAAATAGGCTTTGCTTTTGGGCTTTACTTTTTCATTTTATGACCGTTTTTTTGTGTCGAGTTGGTAAACTTTGTTATCGTCAAAAAAAGAAACTCCCGCCGGAAAACTCTGTGCAAAAATGGTCGCGAAGGGGGGGGCTTGTCACTTTTAGGTCGTGAAACTATTTGCAGCTAGAAATTGCCACCGCACGGTGACTAAGAGAAAGAGAGGGCCAGATGTGTCCAGAAAGAGAGGGCGAGATCGCCGGGGAGTTCAAGCGCCTCGCTCAAGGCAATTGCTGTCTGCAGCTTATCAGGGCAACTGGAACCACTCGAGGCAGCGAGTACAAAAAAGTGCTAATTGTAAGCCCCCCTTTTCGAGGGGTTTTCTTTTCGTTACTCGAAAATTATAATTCATGCGTGCCAGCAGACGCCAAAGTTTCAACAGAACTCAGTCAATCATAACCAAAAAACAAAAAAAAAAAACGAAAAAAGTGCCTAAGAACACTCCTCTTCGGCCTGGGAGTTGTCTGCACCTTCGGTTTGGGGAGTGTTTGTGTTTGCCCTCTGTCCGAGGGGAGATCCCTCCAAGTGCGTGCCACTCCGCATGCAACGCTGAGCAAGTCGCCACCAGTAGCCGATTCGGAGTCAGATCCATGTCCATGTCCAGAAGCCGAACCATCAACACCCGCCTCAATAAAAGTACAGGGAGCCCTCGGAAGATCTTTAATATATCAGGGGGAAAAATGTAATTACTTTTTCGAGGTGTAAAATTAATTGATTGCCTTCTCTTCCTTTAAGATATAATTACAGTATTAAATATAAGAGTAAAATTTTCATTGTACAAGAATAAAGGTACTACCATGTCACTGTTTACTACACCCAAAAAGAAAAATCAAGTCGCGGTAACGCGGTAAATTTCTGGCATATCGTTTTTACCATGCATTACAAATTTTTTCTCTCAGAGGTTCGAAATAGGGCGGTAAAGCGCCTAATGTTACATGAGTGGGAGGGAAAAAGTCATATTTGAAATTCGAACTGGCTTGTTATTTACATTTCGAGCATATCAAGTCGAAATTGATACCACATAATGTAAAATCGATCATCGTTACATATCAAGTTTTTTTTTTGGTTGAACACGATCTTCTTATTTTTTTATTATTTAAATATTTTTTTCCCTACAATACAATTTCTACTGTACTTGCTAGGCCTTTTTTTGTGAGTGGTGCGCGAAAACCTCATCGCTGTCCCATTTCCATTCCTATTCCTTTTCCCACTCGCACTCCCATTTCCTGACCTACCTTGGCTTTCTTGGCCTGGCCAACACATGTTCGTGCGCTCGGCTGCACTATCTGTTTGCCCTCCGCCTATTTGCTTTTGGGCGTACATTGAACCGCAAGAGGCCAGAACTCGGCGCCACCCCCAACTAATCATCACTTTGTTGCTGCGTTAATGACTCGCCTTGGATTTGCCTGCGCCAACTCCCTGCGGAGCTTCCCATTTAAGTGAATGCACCAAAAAATAAAAAACGAAACGAGTAAAACATATAGGGAAAAGGAAGTCGTGTTGGAGAGCGTGTTCCCAAAACGTTTTGGCATCCCAAATGGATGTCGGGGCGCCCGGCTCCTCCCCTATCACTCAAAGTGCCATAAAAATTATGCATGAATGTATTTGCTTCATTTCTACACTTTTTTTTTTTTTACTTTCTAGCCAAATATAAAAGTGCCGCACCCCCCAAAAAGAGGAAAAACCTAAAAAAAGGGAGTACAAAAATGAAACGAATGCAGAAGCGTCGCATTTTTACGGCTCCATTCATGTGACGACGGAAGTGTCAAGTGGCTGTTGGCAACTCGTCGTCGACGGGCAAAACTTCCCAACCCCCTCGGAAAAAAGAAAAAGCCATGCCCGAAACCCACCCACTTTTCCTGGGCGTCCTTTTCGTCAACGTCGCCTCTGTGCATCGAAAATGCCGTTATTGTTGCCAGTTGTCTACATGCTCTATGCTCCCATGTACATCACATCACATCGGATCCCCTGGCCTCTCTGTTGGATTTTTTTTTGTACCTCCATGGAGCTCCTCCGAAACCTTTCCACAAATGTCTACTACGTGTGCCCAAGTTGCATACTCGCTCTCTTTCACACCCTCTATCCCCGTCTCTTTCGCCACTGACGTCTGTCGTCGAGTGGGCAAACTTTTTAGCGTATGAATGTGTATGTTTCGTTTTTCACCATTATTTTTTTTCTCACATTTTTCTCCATTTTTGCCATTTTTTGTGTGTACTTTGCTTCATTTTTCTATGCCCTTCATTTAGCTGGCTTTGTTCTTTTTGGGGTACAGTTGTGCTCGTAGGGTTAAGTAGCCTCTGACTCGGACGAATAAGTAGCTGCAGATGCCGGATCCAAAAGTTGACGTCTGCGTTTTTCGAAAAAGGCGGTCTGATTGTTCTTAAGACTCCTAAGGGTTTAGGTTCTAAGAAAAAATGCTTGTATAAACTTGAAACTGTTTTTTATAAAGTTTTTGGAACTGTGAATATTTCTAATAAAATCTCTGGAAGATTATTATAAATATTAGAAACGAAAAAAAATAATCCAAACTAATGTTCCATTGATTAAAAACTACTATTAATTTATTTTAATGCTAATAGTTTTTTAAAAGCTTTAACATTTAAGCTGTGCAATGTAACGGAATGAATTCCTTGAGCCCGGCCTTAAATTTATTAAGCACAATGACCTGATTATGAATCTCCTAATCTTTTTAATGCTTCCTAATAATTTTCATAAAATAATCGTCTTATTTGGAATTCGATTTCCCTAGCTTTTATTTTAGCTAGTTCTTGGAAAAGTAACCATAATGATTTCTAAAATAGCTGCAAAAGTCACAATACCGCAGAAGTCTTATCGCGAATACTTTTCACGATTATTGGTTTAATTCCATTACGCAGAACTGCAAGTGAATGTAATTCCAGCATAAAAACCCAACAAAAACTTGCCAGATAGTCACTGCAATTAATGGCATTTAACTATCAACCCTTGACCCACCGCCCGAGGAACAAAACTCCATGTTTTGGCACCCACTCTTCGTGAAAATTCCATGACAGCTGTCTAATTTGTCGCCGTAATTTGCGTTGACAAGTTGATTGTCCCGTTCATGCCAGCCACTCCCTAATTGCAGTTAGAGCCACTTACATAACCAGCAATGATAGACCCGATTACATGATTACACTGGCTGGTAGTGGCCCTCTACTGGGAGCTGGGACCTGGACCCACAGAGTCCCGGCCAAAATCCATGCGGCTTTCGCTTTCTATGCTTGTTTTCTGGCCTAGCGCATCCTCTGGCTGGTTGCTTGTTGGCCATTTGCATTGCACTCCGTCTGTCGGTCTAATGAAATTCTGTGTTGCCACTTTTCGACCTTCACTGGAGGGGGTAAGGCCCCCTGCTCAACTCCCCACTGCAGTTTTTGGCCAAACAAAACGCCCAAAACGGCGTCCATTCGTGGCCATGGCCATGACCATACTACTCCGTCTGGCCCCAGCTCTCATGCCTCTCGGTTGTTATTTTTGGCATCAGCAGCATCAGCATGGTAACGAAACGAAACGTGCCGCCTGCCAGACTGCATTTCCCGGCTCTGGCCGCGTGCCACCAGCTGCCTGTTGCCGGTTGGCGATGCACCGGCAAAACATTTAGGTAGTGTAGATTTCGGAAAACATTTTGGCCATTTATTAGGTCTAAAAAGGAAAATCCAATATTCGGTGTTCAAAACAAAATGTAATATTTTATCTAACAAATTGTCCATAATATATTTATTTTGAAAATGGGTTCAGGTTAAAGGTAGATTCTTCAGATTTATTTTTGTATAGGTATTGGAAGTATTTACTGAGAAATTTTTAGTGCCCAAATAAAAGCTGTGCAAAGTTTGTACAGCATAGGTAAAATTTAATTATAAATAATTATAATAATTATTTAAACAAAATATATTTACATTTAAATGAGAGACTGCCCTTAGTTATTGACCGTTTCTTCATTTTTCAATTTTTTCAGTAACTAAAATATTCAGCATACTTTTAAAACATTCAAAAAATATTCTACCAATCATTTTCTTCTTGTGCACTTATATCTGTGGCATTGGGGCGATGCCGGGCACTGGAGTTGGACTCTGATTTGTGTGGCGCTGCATCCTCTGGCGGTGGCGATGGTGGTGATGCTGGTGGTGAGGTGGTGGCATTGACATTGG